ACATCATTTTCACCCCACTCTGTTCTCCTTCCAAATCCTCTGTGCTTCCTACTCTCTTACAAATTCATGGACTCTTCTTTAAATACACACATGCGCGCGCGCACACACACACACACACACATATGCACACACATGTATGCACGTACACACACTCATTGTTTTGAGGGCTTTTTTTGTCTCATGTAGCCCAGGCTAGCCTCCTGTTCATCAAGTACTAGGATCAGAAGTGGGCTCTACCATGCCTAGTCTTATGTAGCAGTGAGGACCAACACTAGGCTTCACACTAGGCGAGCACTCTACAAGCTGAACTACATCCCCAGCTCTAAAACACTTCCCTTTTTTGTTTTGTTTTATGTTATTTTGTTTGTCGAGACAGGGTTTCTCTGTAGCTTTGGAGCCTGTCCTGGAACTCTCTCTGTAGACCAGGCTGGCCTCATAGTCATAGAGATCTGCCTGCCTCTGCCTCCCGAGTGCTGGGATTAAAGGTGTGCACCACCACTACCTGGCTAAAAGGCTTCTTTTAAGGCACACAGCCCAGCAGGGTTTCAGCCCAGATCTACCCAAGCCTTGGTCCAGTGTTCCTTGCCTGCCCCACTCTATTCTGTTCTATGGAGCTGAAGGGCAGCTTCCTCACCCCAGCTGCTGGCTTTGCAGACAATGCCTCTGACAAGGATCTGGCGGACCTGGTATCCGAGATGGAGGTGATGAAGCTAATAGGCCGACACAAGAATATCATCAACCTGCTGGGTGTCTGCACTCAGGAAGGTAGGGCAGGAGCTGGGATACAGACGGGCAGTTGGGATGCAAAGGCACAATTTTGCCAGCCTTCCCATCCCCTGGCCCATGCCTACCCCCTGTAGGGCCCCTGTATGTGATTGTGGAATGTGCTGCCAAGGGAAACCTTCGGGAATTCCTCCGTGCCCGGCGCCCCCCAGGCCCTGACCTCAGCCCTGATGGGCCTCGGAGCAGTGATGGGCCACTCTCCTTCCCGGCCCTGGTCTCCTGTGCCTACCAGGTGGCCCGAGGCATGCAGTATCTGGAGTCTCGGAAGGTGTGGACAAGAGACAGTGCTAGTGTGCTCTGGACCACTCTAACTCTCCCATCTCCACGACTTCCATGCTGGTGGCCCTGGATGTCCCCAGCCGCTCCTTGTTTCCTGTTCACTGCTCTGTTCTTTATACGTGGCTCCACACAGATGCAGCTAACTCTGCATGTCCCCACTTGTAACACTGCATGTCCCCATTCGCTCCTCACCACTCTCTAACCCAGGGGCGAGGCAAATGAAGCCATGGTGCAGGTGTGGGCTTCCTCCTTTCCCTTTCTCTGGTGCTGGGGATTCAGCCCAGGCCTTTGCCCACTCCATTTCTCGTCTGTTGGGGCCGAGTGACCCTAGCCCCTGGACTTACTGTGAAATGATGAGCACAGCTCCCAGACACGTGTCCTGATATACCAAAGTCCCCTGCCCTCTTCTTAGTGCATCCACCGGGACCTGGCTGCCCGAAATGTACTGGTGACTGAGGACGATGTGATGAAGATTGCTGACTTTGGGCTGGCCCGTGGCGTCCACCATATTGACTACTATAAGAAAACCAGCAATGTGAGGGGCGGGGTGTAGATACATGGGAATGAGGTGGGGGCTGGGTCTGGTATGGAAGGTATAGGCCCTGTAAACTCAACACCATTGTTCCCACCTTCTTCCTCTAGGGCCGCCTGCCCGTCAAGTGGATGGCTCCTGAGGCCTTGTTTGATCGTGTATACACACACCAGAGTGATGTGTGAGTCCGGGAACTGGGGGGTCTTAGATATCAGCTATGGTCATTCCGCCCTCTAAAAAAAACAAGGCGCTTGCCGAAGTCGTAAGATCCTAGGAGTCCCTCTGATTAGGCCTGGGACTTGTGTAGCTCCAGACTCCAAAAGAAATGAGTGCCCCTCCCTGTCTCCAAGGGTGGATCGTGACTGCAGTAGCCTCTACCATAGCCTTAAGGAGGAAGAATGCTGGGCCCTGCTGAGTCTCACTTCTCCCTCTAGGTGGTCATTTGGGATTCTGCTGTGGGAGATCTTCACCCTTGGGGGCTCCCCATACCCTGGCATCCCTGTGGAAGAGCTGTTCTCACTGCTGCGAGAGGGGCACAGGATGGACCGGCCCCCGAACTGCCCCCCAGAGTTGTAAGGATGCCTTCCCCTGCCCAACCTTACAGACCTCATCCTCTGCCCTGGCTTTGGCCTCAGGCGTTGGCCCTGGTTATGGAGCAGCAACCCACTCGCCGTCTCTCCTCTTTCTCTCTGTGGCTTGTGTTGTCCTGGGTCTGCTCTCTAGTGAATTGCTCTGCTTCTCCCTCCCAGGCCCCTGAGGCCCAGCCCCAGGGAGCCCACAGTCCCTAGACATAAGTTCTTTGACTCAACCCCAGGTACGGGTTAATGAGGGAGTGTTGGCACGCGGCGCCCTCTCAGAGGCCGACTTTTAAGCAACTGGTGGAAGCGCTAGACAAGGTCCTGCTGGCTGTCTCTGAGGAGGTACTGCCCACTCCTGCCCCGTGCCCTCTCTGCACCGCCCCCGTGACTTGGTGACATAAATACGAAGCACACTGCCCCAGAGGCTGGAAGCTGACCAGCTTCACTCTTTGCAGTACCTTGACCTCCGCCTGACCTTTGGACCCTACTGCCCTTCCAACGGGGATGCCAGCAGCACCTGCTCCTCCGGTGACTCTGTTTTCAGCCACGACCCCTTGCCACTCCAGCCAAGCCCCTTCCCTCTCCCTGGAGTGCAGACGTGAACAGGAGCCCCATGTTGTGTGGGCGGGTAGGTCAGTGGCAATGGGCTCCTAGCTCAGCTGCCACCTGACACAGCGTTTGATGTTGGCAGCACCAGGCCTCTAACTTGAGGCTACTGCTGCCCCAGATCCTCTGGCCCTGCTTTGGGGAGGCCCCATTCTTGGTCCTAAGGTTCATAGTTCAGGCCCTCTGCTCTATCTAGCCTTATGTTCCCAACCCAGAATTCAACTCTAGTCTCAGGGTCCTGCCCTGTCCTTGGACTTATCCTCAGAGAAGCTAACTGTTAGGGCTTCATGCTCTGGACCTTGGCACTTAGCTTCCATCTCAGGGGCTTGCTAGGCCTGACTACAAAGCTTGTCCCAAATCTTTCTGATTGCCCAGACTACCTAGAGGTTAGAGGCCTCTGACCTCCTTGACTCCAGCCCCAAGCCTCACCTCCCATCACTGTCCCAGCATCTTGGTCAAATGAGCTCTGGGTGTCCCTGAGAGACTAGAAGCCTGTGGAAAACACAGAAGATGACATTTTTATAAATTATTTTTTGAAATAAATCTGTGTGCCTGGTGACTCCCCTGAGGGGCAGGGTGTAGGGTGGGAAGACTCCCTGTGCTGGGAGCTCTGTCTGGGTGACAGAGACTGAGGGATGTGTGCCAGGCCTTCAGTTGGCTTCCACCCCTAGCTGTGCTATGGCAGACCCAGAGGTGGGTACGCACCCACCCTTCCAGAACCATTCTTGTGTGTGCCATGGTGTGAGAGTTCATGGGCAGATGAGACCATACCGCACCATCTGTAAGGCAGGCCCTTGTACCCTCAACATGGGCCTGGATGCCTGTTTGGCCCACAGCTGTCCTCAAGGGAGCTGGTGCCCCCTCCCCCATCTGCTCAGCATTAAGCAAACTGACCGTTAACGCGGCTTGAAAACAAGCCTCCAGCCGCTGCCTGCTCCCACGATCTGGATCTGCCAGCTCAGACTTGGGGCTTGCGGGGGCTGTGCCCGCCCTGCCTTACCCTGGCCTGTCTCCCAGGCAGCAGCTGCTTGCTGCCTGACTGAGCTGCAGCTGTCCCAAATGCAGGATCCTCCCTGGAGACTGTTAGAGCCCTAATCTCAGCCCCGCCTTCCCTCAGAGGGACTGACTTCCCAGAGCTCTGAGCCTGGAAACTTACTGGACTCCAGTCTGGCAGTTTCAGCTGCTCCCTAGCCCTGAACCTTAGGGTGGGCCATGGAAAGGCCAAAAGTGGTCCCAGCCTAGCACTTGGTGCTCTGCTACCTGGCTCCATGAGCTCTCTGGGAGTGACGGCTGAAAATGTGTTTACGCTTCTGGGGGCTAGTATAAGAATTTGAGCATGGAGCTGAAGAGATGCCTATCATCTAAGAGCACTTGTTGCTCTTCCTGAGGACTCAAGTGTTGACTTCCAGCACCCACAACAACCATTTGTAACTCCAGTTCTTAGGCACCCAGTGCCCTCTTCTGACTTCCGTGGGCACTAGACATACACACACACACACACACACACACACAGGCAAAGGAAGATTTAAGGATGGCTTGTTCACTAGGAGTCGTGCAGGAAAACAGCCGTAGTTCATAATTCATGAAGGGAATAGCTTTTTCCCCATTGTTCTGGGCTACGTCCATACCCTTTCAGACTCACTATATCCCAAACTGTACCTCATCCAGAATACCCCATCCTAGAGGAGACACCAAACAAAAAGCCCACAGATTCTCCCTGGTTACTCCTTTCCCTCAGAAGCCATATTCCTTCCTTAGTGGGATGCAGAGAGCGTTAGACTTAGAGCAAGGGTTCAGATTCTGCTCTCTGCAGCATCCCACTGAGGGACCCAGGTCAGCATTGTCGCTGCTCCGGTGGCCACTTTTCTTCCCTGTCCTGCCTTTGAGAACAGACATTCCCTTTGGGGGAAGGAAACATAGATGATATCCTTAAGCTTGGGAAAGGCTGGTCTAGACTCCACACAAGTCATACCGTAATCTTACTGGGAATTGGGGCTCTTGCATGGCCTCCAGCCCCGATTCCCAGTCAAGGTCTCCTGCCCCACTTCTGCTCTCTGTTCTTCTGCAGGTAGCTCCCGAGGCAGCAGCCCAAAGCAGCTCCTAGCTTTTATTCTTCCTACATGGCTCCCTGGGACCTCAGATTTTCTGTGTAAGCACCACACACCATAATCAGTGTTGCCAAGGTCTCAAATGTTCCAACCGAGACCCGATTCCAAACTCAGAATCCCATTAGAGCTTACTAGTCCGAGTTGAGTCCATCACCAGCCAGGCAGTCGCTTTCTGAGGCAGATTCCTTGGATTTACCTGGGTGAAGAAAAGATTGGAATCAGGTGTAAGGACTGAGAGGTGAAGATCAAAAGCCCCATAGTCCACATCTCCACTCTTGGCCCATTGCTAGTCTGGAGCCATCCAGTTGTCTCCCTAAGCACAGCTCTACCACATATAGATTATACTTACTTTTCATGGTGGTGAAACCAAAGGATGTGTCTGGTGCAGACCTCAGAAGGGCATCAGGCAGGGACGTCACACGCCTTTAGTCCTAGCAGTTGGGAGACAGAGGCAGGCAAATCTCAAGTTCAAGTTCAAGGCCAGCCTGTTCTTGAATAGCCAGGGCTACATGGAGAAACCCTGTCTCAAAACAAAACAAAACAAGACAACACAGACACACACTTGCATACATTGCACATTCTTGTAAGTTGGAGGGGCTGAAGAGATGGCTTGGCTCTTGCAGAGGACCTGATTACATATTCCAGCATCCCCTAATCCCAGTTTACAACCATCTTTAACTCTCGTTCTAGGGCCTCTGGTGCCCTCTTCTGGCCTCTGCTGGTACCTGCATGCAGGTGCACACACCCACTCACAGAACATAAAAATAAAATAAATCTCTTTCCAAAATTAGGAGTCTGAAGTCAGGGCTACCTATGGGGTTCCACGAAAGAGCTGGACTGACACCTCGAGTTCTCAGCAGGCCCTGGGAATGCTGTAGCCCAGAACCAGGCTGCTCAGAGTCTTAGGAGCAGCTGCCTGGTGATTCCTGGGGTCCAGGAGGGGACAGGCATACTGAGACCGCCTCAGATATGAAATGGTAAGAAGTGGCTCAGGAGGATTAGCTGGAGCGAGAGGCCACACTGGGATAAAAAGACAGACTGTGTCGCCAAAAAATAAAGTCAGGAACAGAGGGTTCACACCTGTAATGCAAGCACTCGGGAGATCACCTCAAATCTGAGGCCAGCCTGGGATACAGAGTGAGTTATAGGCCAATCTGAGCTTTAAGATGAGACCTAGCCTTCAAAAAGATTGAAGCCAAAGCAGGCTAGATATGACGGCACATGCCTGTCCCCAACAACTGGGAGGCAGAGGTAGGCAAACTTCTGTGAGTTTGGGCTCAGCCTGGTCTACATCAAGAGACCCAAGCAGGCCGAGGTCAGAGTAAGGCCTTGTATCAAAAACAAAGCAAAACAAAACAAAACAAAAAACGGGAAACAAAGAAAAAGGACTTGGGTCTGATTACCAGTGTTGTAAAAACTAAACAGAAAGTGGGGTTTCATAAAACAGCTGGACTGATAGCCCCAGTTCTCAGCAGGCCCTGCAAACACTGGAGCCCAGAACCAGGTTGCTTGGAGTGACAGGAGCAGCTGCTGCCTGGTAATTTCTGGGGTCCAGGAGGGACCGGACGGCCTGCCCCGTGCCCCTCCCTGCCAGTGTCCCTGGCAAGCACACAGTTGCTGGGTTGGTTCACATTCCTGATGTCCCATGTCAGGAGACAGATGCTGCTAATTCCCCTGTGCAAGCCTTGCTGCTCCTTCAAGCCTGCCCTCCCTCCCCAGCCGGCTCTGGGCAGCATGGCAACAGCTGGGGCCCGGCCCCTTTAGTCTGTCCCTGTTCTGAGCAGCTTCCAAGCCTGTGAACAGCACTGGGTTTCTCTCCAGAAGGCAACTGGAGACCGTGCTGAGAAGGACAGGCAGACAACACTCTGATCTGGGAGCTGATAGCAATGAAATGAGCACCTGGGAGGAAGGTGCCCGGGTAGGAGGGGTGGTACCATGATCGGCCACCCTCTCTGAGCCTCTGTTTCCCTGCCTGTTATGCTGGGATGAAGGATGACACCTGCCAAACAGTGCATGCGCGTTGAGTAAACAGCAGCTGTTATTGCATGGCAATTAAGACAGGGCCTCCCGGGCAGGGTGTTGTGCTGAGTGGAGGGGGCACAGGGCGGGGGAGGCATTGGTTCATTTCCTTCTGGGGTGGCTCTTCCAGGAAAGCATTCTCACTGGCAGCATTTCCCTGAGGGGGACACTGAGGTTCAGAAGGAGGAAGTAATTGGTCCATATCACATGGGGAAAATAGGAAAGTGGTACCTCAGATAAGATGGTCTGAGCCCATGGAGCTCACTCCCATGCCCTGCATGACCCAGTATGTCCTAGTGTTCAGAGGCTCTGGAAGGCCCAGAACAGGGAGCTCTGTTGGCCCAGGGAGGATGGACAGACGCTATGCTGAAGCTCACCAGGGCCCCAGCTCTGTTTTGATGGTAGCCTTATGACCCAGTGCCTGCCACGTCACAACCTTCCCATGGGCTTTTCCTTCCAGGGGACATTTTTTTTCCCACCCTTCACTTGGCCAAGCCCCAGTGACTCTCAAGGCTCACATAGGGACTGGGACTGTAGCTGTCAGTAGATGCTCATCTAGCACACAGGAATCCTGGGTTCAACCTGCAGCACTGCATAAACCAGGGAGTGGTGTTTACCTGTAGCACCCCTGGCCTCCATGGACACATGCATAGGTGTGCACATGGACATGGACACACACATGCAAACACACACACACACACACACACACACACAAGCCCACAAGCCTGGGGATGGCGTGGAGCGCTTGCTCAGCCTACACAGGATCCTGTGCCTGACCCCCAGCACAAACAAGCAAGCCCCTTCCTCCCATCCTCTCTCTCCCCAGAAAACACTGTTGCCATTGTCTGAGCCTCTTGGCAAGTCTCCACACCCCTGTCCCATGCCTGCATGGCCCTTGATCCAGCTAAGCAGTTAACCTTTCTTGTTTCTAAATCCCAGCCCAGGGCACACAGGGCAGGATTGGGGCCCAGAGAAGTGCTGTAAAGGAACAAAGGCCATGCCTATGTCTAAGCATCATCATGTGGATGGACAAGCCTGTAAATACTCAGTTTCCCATCGCCCACTACTTCTCACACCACTGGGACCCTAACTGGGAGCCTCTCCTTCACCTGCTGTGAGATTTGGCCTAATCTGGGAGTATGAGTGCAAGACAGCTGCAGCTCTCCCCCAGCCCCCAGAGGAAATATCCTTTTTATTCTCTTACTATGGAAATTTGACCTTCATTGGCACCTGGGTTCCACAGCTGGAGTCTGTCTCCAAGAAGCAACCGAGGATGGGGCATGAAATCGCCAACAGCTGAACTCGACCAGCTTCCTCCACATCCTTCCCAGGCCCAGCAACGTTCACATTCCACATTCCAGGTCCCCTGGTGCCAGGCCACACTGTTCTCGGACTGGTACTTTAGGACCAGCCTGATGTGACCCTACTGACCTCGCCACCTGACCCTGAGGCTGTGGCATGAGCTCTATAGTTCTGGTATGTACAAGTCACCCTTGTACACTTAAGGGTTCAAAAAGCATAACCTTCCTGACCTCACAACCCAATCCAGGAATTCTACATCTGCACACAACTGCACACATCTGCACACAACTGCACACATCTGCACACAACTGCAACCACTGCTGGCTACCTCACCTAAAGTAGGAGTCTCATGGAACCCACTTCTGTGATCTCAGGCCCAGCGGGGAGCAGACCATCCTGGGGCTTTTCAAATGACCTTACAAGGGGCTCTTGTCAGTAAGATTCTTTGGGCAGAGCCTACCTGTCAACAACGAAGGCCCCTGGGAAACCAAAGGTCCTGGTCTTTCCTCATGGAGGCAGGAGAGGAGGACCAGCTGGTAGGAGTGGGGCAATGATACCTGTATTGAACATCAAGGCTTTAGAGCTTTGACAGCAGTGCCTGGAAGCCAGGGGTGCTGGTGCATGCCCGGAAGCTGAGGACTTGGGAGGAGCGTCGGAAGCTCAAGGCCAGTCACAGCTACAACAAGCTGTGCCTAGCCTGGGCCAAGACTAGACCTGAAGTCCTGATCATCTTTCTTCCGCCTCCTCAGTGCAGGAATCTTGGGCCTGTACCACCACCCCTGAAAGTATTTGTTTCTAGATAGGGTCTCACACAGTAACCCCGGCTAGCCTCCTGCTTCAGTCTCCCAAGTGCAGAAACCACACCTGGCCCTTTTTCTTTTATGCTGACCTGGAATTTGCCTTGTAGACTAGGCTGTCCTGGAACCTGCAGAAATCTACCTGCTTCTGCCTCTTGAGTCCTGAGATTATAGGAGTCAGGCTGAATTTAAACTTGATATGTAACCCAGGCTGCACAAACTTTCAAGCCCCTGCTTCAGCCTCCAGAACAGCTGAGACCACAAGTCTGCATTATCGTTTGATTATTATCATTTTCATGACCTCAAATACAAGGTTGAAGAGCCATGTGTTGAACAGCAGAAGCTCCGGCTAGAGCCACAGTTCTCAACCTGTGGATCACATCCCTTTGGGATCACATATGAGATATTCTGCACATTGGATTTTTATATGAAAATTCATAGCAGTCACAAAATTTCAGTTACGAAGTAGCAACAAAATAATTTGTGATTGGGGTCACCACAACGTGAAGAGCTGTATTAAAGAGTCACACACAGCGTTAGGAAGGTTGAGAACCACTGCTGTGGAGCCTTCAGAAAAGGGCTCCTTTGGTGTGGTGCTTCAGACCTTCAATCCTAGCGCTCAGGAGGACGCGGCTTAGCTGGATCTCTGTGAGTCTGAAGCCAGACTGGTCTGTGAAGAGAGCTCCAGGCCAGTGAGGGCTACAAAGAAAGGAAAGCAAAAGGCAGGCTGCTCTAAGTGTCCTGATTCAGGATGCAGTTTAATGAGGTCCTTGGACTCAATCTATCTACATCATAAAAGAAAGAAAGGAAGGGAGGAAGGGAGGGAG